GCATGAACCAGCCTCAGAGGGAGAAAAAGCTTTCTAGATGATTCCATAACTTGTTATCAAGTCAAACATCTTCTTCTTTACATCTCCTAACGTGAAATAAGTTAATAAAAAAAGTACGTAGTACAAAGACTATGGCACGGAATCTGAAAAATAGTTGTGATAAATTGACCCAAAGGTGAAAGAAAAGGTATTAAATAATAAGATTTGCATCTAAAAGTGAGAAATATAATACTCCCTCCGTATCCATTTAATTGTCACACTTTCATTTTTAGGGTACCAAATTAATTATCTTCTTTCCTTTTTTGGAAAGAATCTCTCTTAAAAAATAGTTACAATACATTTACAGTACAAAAAACTTTTTTCATTTTATAAAATCTACAATAATTCTCTCAAACTCTGTGAAAAACAAATGGGTCAAATTTGTTTAATAGAATGGAACTCCGTATGTACTTCGTATATTGTACGCATATGATGGGTAGAGAAGGGTTTAGGCAGATGGAATAGGCAAAACGTTGCCCTATGTGGCGTTTTCATTTTCAACATTTTAGAACCAATCAGCCGGTGTGAGGAAGCTATTTGCCTAACAATATTTTTGAATTTTTCAAGAGCCCGTTTGGTAGCACGAAAATCGGCTGATTTGGTTGATTCTGTTGAAATTTATGAAGTTTTGGCTGAAGTGGCTGCATTGGCTGATTTTGCTGATTTAAGAAAAAAAAAATGAATATATTTTATTAATAAAACAAAGAAAAAATTATATGTTAAAATAGCTTAAATGATCATCTACAGTAACTTCGTCAGCCAATACAGCCAGAAAAGTAACTCCAACCTTACTTTTTCTGCTTATTACACAATTCAGCGCGCGGAAGCAAAAGTAACGTGCTTGGTGAAAAAATTGACTGATAAGTCCGATAAACCTGATAAGCCGAAAAACAGTGCTGTCAAACGGTCTCCAATTGTCAAACCCATTAATTTTAGTCAAAGAAGCTGAAAAATGTTTGATCAACCATTTTCCAAACAAGTCGTTTATCTTATTATACTACTCCGATAAACCTGATAAGTCGAAAAGTGTTTGATCAACCATTTTAGTACTACTATATTATTTGGCTTCTTCAACCTTGTTCAGTTTTCATTCCAACTTCTTAGCCTTGTCATTTGGGGAAGTATTTTCTTCTTTCAGCTCATCAATCTCCTTCAACTGTTCAACATGGATGATTTATATCTTTATGTAGTCATCCATAAGAAATATACTCACAATCCATTTGTTTCACTTGAAACAATTACAAAATTTCATTTAGAGAATTCATCGAACGGCTAATATGCTAATTGCTATATAGGAATCAACACGATGCATTTTAATTCTAACTACTATACGAGAGTTAATCTACGAAAAGTAGAGAAATTTAGACAGCGTAAGACAATATTATTATTCCAAATGCGGATCCTTTATAGGGTATGTATAGAAAGTATTTATAGACCCAGAGGCCAGAGTTACAATCGTTTAAGGAGATAAAATCGATGCATTTAATACATTTAGTTATCATAGGAGTCTTGTAGCGTCTCGATTACTGTGCAATCATTACTCTTCCAGATCCATGTTTCTTCCGTTAGTTTCACGCCGCTGCCATATAGCTATACCCGAATGATAGCCTGCCACATAAGCCCTAGAATAAGTTCGATCTCGCTTGAGTCACACTCATGCAAGTCTGCTGTGCAGACCGACCTGATTGTGTATTTCTTTCGCGGGTTGAGTTCCTATTCAAGCTAAGCCCAATGACTATTACTAACTATTAATCCTGATTAATGATCTTGGTTCACTATTCTCATGTAATGGCTTCATTTTAATTTATTCTTGGGCGATGGCCGTAATCCATGCTATTATAGCAAAACAAAGACCTTCCTAATTTTTTGTGAAATAAATCAAAATGAATTTTTTTTAGGTGAAAATGTAACGTACAACTTATGAGTGATGACAACAGCGCGTTTTTCTTGTAGGCGGAGTGGGTAGTAGCTTTCGATCAATATACTCGAATTGAACTATGACAATAAAACAACTGAAGAGTTTTTGTTTTTTGTTTGGGGTTCTCGACAATTCATATAACATGCAGGGTACGGGCAGCATGTTCACCACCCTCCCATCTGTCGTCCTTCATTTGTTTTTACTTGTTTTACCAAACATCTTAATTATATGAACGTAGTTATTATATTTTACATTGAAATCTATTTGTCTTAAAAATCAATTAAATGGATTATTTGTTAGTGACCGATTCAAAATGTAGTAGTGAAATAATTACATAAATATGACCAAAATAAAGATGATTTACAAAAATATGACTAGTTACTAGAGTAGTAATGAAATCATAGTAATTTATGTTCAAATTTTGAACTTAAGTTACCACAACACTACGTTGTAGTAATGAATAGTCATATTTATGTAAATAAGTTTTATTTTAGTAATATTCTTGTAAGAATGGTGTGTTTGAAAGGTGGAAAGACATGTAAGGGTTGATGAGTTTATGACCCTTTACTATTTGTGTCTGAGAGTTTAAGAAATGTGGAGTAGTGGTTTTAGAAGGTTTTGTGACTCCAAAATGGAAGGTTTTGAAAGATAATTAACTAGATAATTTAATTTCAATTCATATTTGAATTCAATATATCTTAGAAGTAATTTTAATTATATTCCAAACTTAGTACTCCTAAATAAGAATACAGTTTCCTCACTTTTTTTCCCTTTCTCCTCTAACAACGGACCTTCAAAGTCTTCTTTCTTTATCCCCCAAACTCCCAAACACACCATTGGGATTTAGTGTTTAGCGTTAGTGTTTAGGGTTTATCAATCTCACGATTCCCATATAGAGTTTAGGTTAATTAGCCTTTTAGAGTTTAATGATGGCTGCTTGGCGGAGTCAGTGACTTTCCGGTGGCATTCCAGCGGCGATCAAAGGACCGCTGAGTAACATGATTACCGGTGGCGGTTGGAAATCTACGAGCGGCGGCGGCGGAAGTGATATATCATGTGACATGGGGAAACTGTACGATGGAGTAATTTTAGGCAATTAACTATTGTTTAGTCCTGTTTTTAGTTGTAGTTTTAAGGAAAAGTTTATACTAAGAACCTTTTAACACCTTAGATAGATACATAAATCATTTTTTACTCAAAGGCCAAGTTTTTTTTTTTAGTACAATTCGCACAAAAGTTTTGTAGTACACTAGTACTCGTATTTGGTTCCCTATTATGTGTGTCCAATGTAGTGAGTAATTGTGTAAATAGCTATACGCCAAACATCCCATAATAATGTACCGAGTATTATTATTGTACATCACCCCACCCTTACTCCACCTACTCCTACCATCCCAAATTTATGTCTAATTTGTACTTTCAGAATTAAAGTGACAATGAAGTAAAGAGCTTGTTTGTCATTTTTGTGACATTGAAATTGATTGAATCGGGTGATTCTACTGAACTTTATGAAGTTCTGCGTGAAGTGATTAGATTGATCGATTTTGCTGAATTATGCAAATAAATATTTATAATATATTATATTAATAAAAAAAAAAATATTAGAAAAACTTGCTAAAATGGTCCATTAAAGTAACTTCAATCAATCCAGCTAGACATAAAAGTAACTTCAATTTTATTTATTTCGATTATTACACAATTCAGCGCTCGAAATAAAAGGTTACACGTTTGGTGAAAAAGTTGGTTGTAACACTGATAACTCGAAATACAAGATAAGCAAACGGCTCTAATTTTTCTTTCCAAAACTAAGATCAATATAGATGATAACTATTAACTGATCACTTAATAAAAAGTAAAATTAAAATATATACTTGAGCAAAAAAAAAATAAACGTGATAAAATATTTTCAAAAAATCAACATACATAAAATTAGGTTGATTAAGAAAAGAAAATGTGCAAATTATTCTCTGGAAAATAAGGATTACATATTGGGGTTCTACCCTTTAATTTACTACGGGAATTAGTGGTGAGAAAATATATAGAGATTCTTAACCTGGCCAGATAAATATTTGAAATTCTCTAAATATTTTAAATGCATGAATTCTAGTCGTTGATCACGCCAACCTAATTATTATTGAGCATGCTCCATAAATCTACTTGGTTACTAGTGATAGTAGTGATAGGTTCTTTGTATTAATAAACAAAGTTATATAATTTCTAACAATAATACTCCCTCTGTCCCTTTTTAAATGTCCCGTTTTACCATATTCGGATGTCCCTATTTAATTGTCTCATACCTTATTTGGTAAACTTTGTGTGGCTCAAAATCATTCTTACTTTATTCCTACTTTATCAATTAATATTAACCACACAAACTCAATTTTCTTAAAACCCATGCCACCATCTCCCCTCTCATTTAAAAGGGGACGGAGGGAGTAGTTTTGAACCTATGAGGGCAGATCAGGAACAAACAATTCTTTTTGTGCAAATAATTATACCGTGCATTTTTGTGTCATTTGTATTGCATATCAAAATTCAAAGTGTTGTATACGGAGTATTATTCTACAATTAAACAATGTATTGCATATTAACGTTCAAAGTGTTAAATATTAGTGATAAAATGTTATCGTGCACCTATAATCATTAGATTAACTAATTGGATGACAAAATGTGTTTGTAATTTGTAAATGTGAGGTGTTTGTATTTGATCTCTTATCTTAGACCTATAGTGTAAAATATTTAAACTCCAGCATCCTAATACACAATGGAAAAACACCCAAACCAAAACTGAAAATGGGAACAACCTCTTAATGGTTTAATTTCAAGTTATTGGGCTCGTTTGGTTTCTGGCCGTTTAAGTCCCAAGCCGCTACAAATTGCAACACTTCAAAACTTATATGGTGTTTTGACTCGAGGCCAAAACCCAAACATAGCCAATTATGTCACTTTTAAAATTATGGTGAGACAAGGACGGGCCGCTTTATAATCTAACTGTGAGAAGCTTTTGTCCTAACCAAAACAATTGGGTGGGGTTCACAACTAAGAGGAGAAAAGCCATGTTAATTGTTACCCAATGGAATGAAATGAAAAGAGTATTAGGCTCAAATGAAAACAACCACTTACTACTAAACGCAAAATGCAAGCTGGTAACAACAAAGCCCAAAACCTCCAAACACTACCATCCGAAACAACAAATCAGATGCGCCATTAGTGTACCCTAATCAACAAAGTTACTAAACAAATTATACCCAAAAACAGTTATAGTAATAATATAATAAATTATTAATGGTAATTAGAACTTGATCACTCTCTTGCCCGTTGATCTCCAAAGCAGGATGGAACAAAACTGAGATCAAACGTAACGCCGTTCCGTCATTTCTCCAGTCATCAAAAAATTAAGCCCTGGCCACAGCCTTGCAAACCAGAGGGGTCTTCATCTCCATAGACAACTTCAGCACCTCAGACAAGTCAACCCCACGGTCAACGCCCTCGAACTTGAAGTTCTGAAGCAGCAAAGCTAGCCAAAGCTGGACCGTGGCTAAGCCCATGGCCTTCCCCGGGCACACCCGCCGACCCGAACCGAACGGAGCCAGCCTGAGATCCGACCCCATGATGGGTACATCTTCCTCCAAGAACCTCTCTGGCAAGAAAGACTCCGGCTCCGGCCAGATCCTCTCATTATGGGTAATGGCCCACATGTTGACCATGGCGGTGGTTCCGGCTGGGACCCAGTGATCGCCCACACGCGTGTCATGGATGGCCAACCGGGCCCATGATAGAAGCGGTCCGGGCGGGTGGATCCTCAGAGTCTCCTTGATGATGGCGTTCAGGTAAGGCAGGTTGGGGAGGTCAGAATCAGATACCGCCCGGTTCTTGCCCACAACGCTGTCAATTTCGGATTGGGCTTTGGATTGAATCTCTGGGTGAAGAACCATTCTTGCCAGAACCCATTCCAGGAGGATGGCCACCGTATCGGTCCCTCTGAATATCATTTCCTGTTGTGGAGAAAAACAAAGATTAAAAGACATAACAGATGAACAGAAGCAAATTGGCCACGTGAGAAGCTAAAAGGGGCTGAAAAGAGGTGAAAGGTACATGAGACCAGACAATAATGCTAAATACGTCTATCAATTCAAGCATAAAAGGATGAGGAATCCAACCAACATCTCAAAGTCATTTCTGTTAACAAATTTTGGGATATAACAAAAACGTTAAAACAGTGATTTGTATTGGACCATATATAATAAATGTGCTTGGCATATGATTCTTCACTCCAGGCTGTCCCAAAATTAATTTTTTTATTTCATTGTCAAACACTTGAATGGTGATGTTTGATCACCAAGAGATTAGAAATTAATATTTGACTTATGCAAAAAAAAAAATGCACAAGATTGGACTTGTGCAAATGAATGCTCCGTATAAAAAAGATTGGATTTTTATGAGTGAAATGATGATAGTAAAACGAGTAAAAGTGATTCTTGAAGCAACATAAATATGCACAAGAAAAGTAGAGTACGAATACAGTAGGGGTCAGAGTAATAGATGACAAAACAATAAATGAAGGCAACAGGAATATGAAATAAATAGTAACAAAGGACACTGTTAAAAATGGGGAAAGTGTGAATAAAAAGGATAGGGAAGGGAAGTACCCAGAGGACAGCAATCATATCAGAATCACTTAGGCAATTCTCAGTCTCGGCCATATCAAGAAGGACATCAACAAAATCTCTGGCAGACTCGTGTCCTATGGGGCGCCCTCCAACCTGAGACCTTCTAGTACGGTGGTCCGCAATGATATTCCCTACAAAGACTTTGACTTCCCCACTAAGGGCCCTACACCTCCTCCTCACCCCCTGCAAGTCCATCCACCCCAACAAAGGGAAATGGTCAGTCCAGTTGAAGATCCCCAGAAGGGTATACCCTTCACTCACAAGCCATTCCAGCTCCAACCCTTCTTTCGAATTGAAATCATAGCACCTCCCAAACACGGTCTTCATCACATTGTTCAGAGACCCATAGTGCAGAACTCTCTTAACCCCAACTTGCCCATCCCTCTCCATCACAGCCTTCATCTCATCCACCATTTTCAACCCAATCTCTGTTCTAAAGCCCCCGAAAGATGCGATTCTCCTTGGACAGAACAAATGCGTGGCCGAGATTCTTCTAAGATTCCTCCAGTAATCCCCGTACGGCGCAAACCCCATCGCTCTGTGGAACAGAAGCTCGTAAGCGGACTCCTTGACGGGTCGGTCTGCAAAAGCGGAGCTACCCAGAATCTCCTTCGCTGTTTCCGGGTTGCTCGAGATGATGAAACGGGTGAAACCCACGGAGAACGCCATTAAAGACTCCGCCTTTGAGGACTTTGAAATCCTATGGAGGACTCTGTGGGTGAGGGAGCCCGTGAATGCCCGGACCAGCCCTAAGAGAGGCAGGCCGGAGGGTCCCGGAATGGCGACCTTGTTCCCGGAGAGAGCCCATGCCAGACCGCCGGGGCTCAGCCAGAACCCGACCGCCGCCAGGAAAACCAGGAAACAGAGCAAGAGAGGAAAACTGAGAACAGTGGATGAAAACCCAGAAGCAGGAACAAAGAGAAGGGAGAACTCTTCTGGTGTCATTATTTTGATTTATGAAAATGAAGATTGAAGAACTTTGATCTCAGAGGAAAATGGAGTGAGAAGTAGTAGGGCGCAAGGTATGTAGCGGAGTTAGGGGAGACGAAGAGCGTGAGAAAACGGTTAAATAGATGGGAGAGGTTTGCATGAATAGAAGAGTTAACCTTGGTTAAAAAATGGTTCCTTTGTTTTTTACCATGGTTAAATTAATTATTGTGGGTGCAAATGATTCTTTTTTTATAGAGGTGAAACGACGACGTCGAGAGAGGCCCACTGCCGCTCGATGGTAGGGCGTCTTGGGCTGCTCCAATCACTTGTGATTTCAACTTCCAAGAAATATTACTTGTACATTTTTGAGTATTTGGCGCCTCAATTGGCCATAAAATAGTAAAATAATCCATTCTCTCTCAAATTAATCTGACAAGTTTAACTACCCACAGAAATAAGAACCACGGTTTCTTAATATTTACGTAATATATGAACAAATAATAATGATTAACAATTTTGGTTATAATTAGAGGCCAAAGTTGACTTGAAATTACTTGAAAATGTGTTGGCATGACATATGTTTGGATGGAAATATGTAGGAATTGACGAATAATTAAGTAGGGACTTAACTTGAAAGGTATTGATACCGAAACCATATAGGACCGTAATGATAGAGAACATACTTTGTATCAACTTAGGGTCTAACATTTCATATTGTTTGATTTATTTAATCTTTTATTAATTCCATTACTAATTTTGAATAAAATGTTCTTCACAAATGTTTATTAGTTTAATAAAACTAAATAATATTTAAAATTTATAAAATTAAAAAAAAAATCCAATTCATGACTACTTAGGTATTAAATTAATAGTTTTCCATCATTCGATTCCTAAATTGGTAAAAGTTTAAAAACGTATACAGTCCCCTGTTTTATACACCCTATATGGTCAATAAAAACGTATAAGGTATTAACAAATATAAACCTGTAATAAATCATTACACGATGTACACCCATCCCCTGTTTTATCGGTTTATATTGTCAATAAAAACGTATGAGTTATTAATAAATAAACCAAAATTAAGGGTCCAATTTCGGTTGTAGTTTAATTACTTGGTCAATAGTAGAAAATAAGCTTGGAAAAATATTCGATCTCTTAGTAATATATTTAAAATATACCAAATTTAAGGGTCCAATTTCGGTTGTAGTGTTTATGAAATCACAAATTTAAACATAAATTAATTACGTGAACCAATTAGAGTATTATAGAACCCGTTTGTTAATAGCCAAATCGGCTGTATTGGCTGATTCTGTTGAAATTTATGAAGTTCTGACTGATGTGGCTGTATTGACTGAGAGCCCGTTTGGAGAACTCTGTTTTCGGCTTATCAGGCTTATCAGCCAGTTTTTTCACCAAACACGTAACTTTTACTTTCGCGCGCTGAATTGTGTAATAAGCCGAAAAAGTAAGGTTGGAGTTACTTTTCTGACTGTATTGGCTGAAGTTACTGTAGAGGACCATTTTAGCTATTTTTACATATAATTTTTTCTTTAATTTATTAATAAAATATATTTTTAAAATATTTTTTTCTTAAATCAGTAGAATCAGCCAAAACAGCCACTCCAGCCAGAATATCATAAATTTCAGCAGAATCAGCCAAAACAGCCGATTTTGGTGCTACCAAACGGGCTCTGATTCTGTTGATTTGTACAAAATAATAATATAAAATATATTTATTAATAGTATAAAGAAAATTATATGAAAAATAGCTAAAATAGCTCTATACAGTAACTTCAGTCAATACAGTCAGAAAAGTAACTTCAACCTTACTCTTTCTTATGATTATACAATTCAGCCCGTTAAAATTAAAAGTTACTCCCCCCGTCTCCGAAAGAAGTTCTCACTTTCCTTATTTGGATGTTCCTATTTTAAGTTCTCATTTCCTTAAGTGGAAAGTTATCTACATCAAAACAGTGTCAAACAGTGCAAAACAGTGTCAAACAGTGTCGAAACAGTGTCAAAACAGTAAAATTTACCTCCTGGTAAGTTTACTTGCATAAAAGTGAGAGAAAGTAAAATGGGGAACTTTTTTCAGGGACAGAGGGAATACGTACTTACTGAAAAAGTTGGCTTATAAGTCTGAAAAGCCAAAACTTGTGGCTACCAAACGCACACATAATGAAGTAGTACATGTATATATGATCGAATAATTAAATAATGACATTGTTTAATTAACTATATTTTCAAATAAATTTAAATTGATACTCTCAATGAATAGTGTGGTTCTTATTAAAATATGTAGTTCTAAAGTTAACTTTTTTCATTTTCAACAAAAAAATTGAAAAAGTTCAGAGAGTTGTGATAACGCTAAAATTAATTGAATCAGTTAAATTGATGAAATTGAAGGAGTTCTAGTTCAATCTACTGAATTGTAGAGATATTATATGTAAAATGTATTTTGTTGATCAAATAACAAAAAAATACATAGTAAATGATAAGATAACGAAAATGATCTATCTAGTAAAATGAAAAGTTAGGTTGTTAACAAAAATCTTGACAAATAAACATGATTGACTTATAAAATACTCCGTAAAAGTTACCAAGTAAACTCTTATAACGTTGGATTCATTGGTTCAAAGATTTCGATCGAAATTAACCTGAAGATGCATGCATAGACACATGCATGCATACACATATTTAATGACTATATTTGATAGAACATGGTATTCAAAGTTGTTTTCAATTATTGAATATTCCGGGTAACTACATCTCGGTTACTCGTTTTAAAATTATGATAAAGATTTGGTAACGGAGATATTCATGAAATAATTTAGTAATTACGTGTGGGGTAATACTTTCCATTTATATATTATATATTATATACTCCGTATAAAAGTAGAGTCAAATGATTTGATAAAACGAATGAAATATTCGGAGGAGTCATTGATAATATTCAAATGAGTTGTATTCACTCATTTAGCTGAGATTTATGGAGTTATTTTTGAAGTTATTGAATTAATTGATTCTGCTAAATCATGGGGAAAAAAATTAAAATATATTTTATGAATAAAATAAAAGAAAAAAATATATCAACAAATAGTTAACATGTTCCTTCATAGTAACTTCAGTCAATATAGCCAGAAAAGTAATTGACAATCTTATTTTTCTAATTATGACATAATTCATCGTTCGAAATCAAATAGTGAAGCGTTGATTTCACAATTCTAAACGCAAAATTCAGTGCTCATTTGGTAATACCCAAATTGGCTATATTGATTGATTCTGCTGAAATTTATGATGCTCCGGCTGAAGTGGCTGAATTGGCTGATTCTGTTGATTTATGCGAAAAAAAAATATTTAAAACATACTCCGTATTTTATTAATAAAATAAAGAAAAAATATATAAAAAAACTAAAATGATCATCTATTGTAAATTCAATCAATACATCTAGAAAAATAACTCTGACCTTATGTTTTATTATTATTACACAATTCAGCACGGAAAATTAAAAATTACGTATTTCATGAAAAATTTGGTTGATAAGCCTGATTAGTCTAAAAAAGATCATCAAACAAGTTATAAATGTTCGTTTTTAATGAAACAACGATCAATAAACGAGAAAACAGAATCACCAAATGGACCGTCGTATTTAATTAACTTTCCAATTTGTCGTAGCTTATCTCATCATTGCCACGGGCACGCCACGCTGTTGGTTTGGGCCGCCCACACCTCCGGGTAGCAGTAGAAACATCTCGGGTATGGGTTTCTGCCTCGACATTAACATGAACTGTTTTCCTAGGCTAGATTCTGATAGACAGGATCAAACGACCTATGTTCATGTTCACCGCCTTTGACTGCATCGTGCGTGGCAGTGCACCCCGTGAAACCCTTCTGACCGGCCGACGCTCCGACAAACATTTATGATAAATCGAAAACTTTCTTCACTCCATTTATATTATCTGACCATAAGTTTGAACGAGAGATTGTCCAAACAAATATTGAAAGTCGCACACGGTTATTAGCCATGGAAATTGCAACGAGTCTTCCAAATCATTATGGAAAAAATTATATTTAAAATATATCAAGTATTTTACCAGTATATTTAATTTATACTCTGCATTCAAATATGGAAACGAACCATGACCCATACCCTTCCTATTGTCATCACTCATCACTAGTAACAAACGTGCTTAACGTTTGTTACGGATCCTTATTGGGATTAATTATTAAGAGATTAAATTAGTGACATGACTGTTTTTTTAGAGAATTGTCATTGAGGAACATAGATTATTTAATCAGATTATTTGCTAGAATAATTAAGTATAGAATCCGGTTAAATTTAATGAGGCATGATTGCATAAAATGACTATTAAGAATACAGATTAAAATGTATATATATATATATATATATATATATATATAAATTTAATTTAGTTTTTTATAAGATATTTTTTTGATAATTGCATTAACTATTACCCTGTACTTTATAAGTTTATATAACCACCACTACTATTGTTTTTAGTATATATAAGAACACACACAAATACATACTAGTATACTTTATTTATTTTTAACTGAAGTATATTCTCCTTAAAAAAAACTGATCAAAGTATATTCTAAAATACTCCGTAGAACGTATCGTAAAATTAACTCGGAAAAATTGAAAATAATAATCTCAACTATCGCCGATCCGCTAACAATAATCCCAACTATTGATTATTTTTGTATAATCCCAACTATATGGACAGTCCGCCAATAATGGTCCATGACCAGATAACAAGTGAATTTCAAATAGAAATTAAGCGTAAAAATTAAAAGTTGGGATTATTTATAGGGATTGCTTGTTATATCTCTTTTCATTCACTTTAGAAATTATAGGAATTTATTTATAGCTGGTCACGTCGGACCATTATTGGCGGAAGGTCCATAAAGTTGGGATTATTCTGAAATAATCGATAGTTGAGATTATTATGAGTGGACCGCCAATAGTTGGGATTATTGCTATCAATTTTTCCTATTAACTATTGCGTATACATGATTTCATTTATTTTTAGTATTAATATTTTAAATATATTTATTTTAAGTAGTTTGTAAAATGATATTA